TTTTTGAGGTTAAAAAATGGACTTATACTGTTTATAAAAGAATATGGAATTGGAAAATGGGCGTGATTTTTTCTTTGCAAAAGAAACTAAAACAAGGACAATTTTTTGAAATTTTTGTATATAACGTTCGATCCCGTGAATATATTTCTGAGAAATTGCTTTCCAAATTTTTGTCAAAGCCATCTGCGTGTTCGGTGCAAACACGATCCCTAATTATCTACTAATAATGTTATTGATAACCTCAACAACTCGAAAAACACAGCGTCATTAATATTGTATCTTTCTCTTATAAGCAAGGATACGAGGATAAAAAACAGTTTATTATAAAAAATAATATTTGGTGGGCTATCCGTTTTGTTTAATAACGTCATTTAAACATTTTGCCACGTTTTGTATAACTTATCTTGTGTGGGAAACACTCTCCAAAACATACTTAATTTCTCTTATAGTCTGTTTTTCAGGCCTTGGAGGAAAGGGGTTTAGTTTTTTCGCACATGGCAGTCTAATTCATCCCACATATTTTTCATACCTGGTAATTTATTGAAGAGGGTGAAGCACTTATATAAGGCTTGGGGTCATTATTATGGTAGATTTCTAATGTTTCCAAAGTTTATCTTTAGTTTCTTCCAAATTTTCTTTCATTTTCCTTAAATAACACTCATTGTTTTTCTATAATCTTTAGCAAAGTTCCACATTTTTTCTTTGGAATGCATACGCGATTTCTTCGGAACTGACAAAACCGAATTAGGTCCGGAATGCGATGATTTAACCATCTTGTGGTCTATTAGTTTCTTAACGTGTTTTTCGATTTGATCATTTTGTGTATGCTGTATACGTTAGTTCATTATGTATGCAAAATATCTTGGCCCAATTTCAATAGACAATTGTATTTTTCGATGAAATTCATACCTATGATTCCATTGGGAATCATCATGGGCCATATGAAAACTAGGTGGTATCACAAAGTTGGTGGATCGTAAATCAAAGAGCGTATCCCCAATTGATCTGATATTACCTTGGGCTGCGCCCTTTAACGTTGTTACTTTGTTAGGATTTATTTCAGCGAATGCAAAATGATTGCAGTTTATGAAAAAAATGTGTGCGCCTATTTAATATGGAAGTTATTAAATCGTTGATGTAGTCTATGTGAACTTGTCTACAGACGTTTAAGTTAACGCTAATGTTGTCCACTTTATCATCTATTGACTTAATCTTAGGAGAATTCTTGGGTTTTATGAGCTATCATTATTCGAAATTATCTGGTTGTTATACATATTCCGTCGTTGATTTCGGCGATTGCCATGGTTATGGCTATCGTGATAATTATTGCCACGTCTGCGTCTATTGTCTGTTTTAAAATTTTCCCTTCTGCAACGGTATGTCACTATCGGCATTTGCACTTCTAGACTTAGATGCAAGTTTTGTTACCAGTAAGTCTCTCAGAATCCAGTAAGTTTCTAATGTCCCTTCTGTATGTTGCTCTGCGAATTTCCGTAAGTATTTGTGTATTATTCGTTTTGCGAGATGTTTTTGTCGATCGTATCCATATATTGGGAGTAAATATTAGTCACCTTTTTTTGCATTCAAAATCTATTTATTTCAAAGCAAAATGAGTGAAAAGATTAATCAAAATTGTCCGTCACTGATTTCTACTTTTCCCACCTCTCATTCAAATTTAGAATTCCCTCTAGAAGAGATATCTCTTGAGGCTTTCACTAAAAGAATGGAAGCAGCCTCCGGCATTCAGATTTACGATACAAAAGTTGAGAATTTAGAACTGAACTGTTCAACCATGCCTTAATAAAAACCAGGATTTCGGAATTTAAAAAATGGAAAATAGTAAATTATTTTGAGCTAATTTCACGAACGTTCTGGAAGGTGATGATAGAGCGACATGATTTCCTTTTTTTTTTATTTGTTTGTCACCAGGTGAAAGATGAACAATTTTAGACTGCTTGCGATTTTTTTTTAATTGCGTGCTAGCGAACGATTAATTTTTTGGAGGGCATTAATATTAGGTTCAACTATAATATCATACAACTTTTCTAGTACCACAAGTTTAAATCACACTTTAGCGCGATTTTTCTAATCGCAATATTCGGCACCAATTAAAATTTATTCCCTTTGGTTGATCCAAAACGCGATGAAACTATGGATTTTCTGCGTGGAATACAACTCAGTTCTATCGGAACATATATCCAGCTTCTTAGAAAGGCGATTAATTTTCATGAAAACTCAAATCAACAATCGTAACAGTATGTTCGTTCTATATTCAAGTTAAAACGCCCATGAATGGTTATAGAAATCACAACAAGACAGCTTAACACCTTAAGATTAGTTTTTATATGCATGTATCAGAGCCCTTAAAGAGGATATCTAACAATATCAACGACAGCAGCGATTAAGATGAAAGTATTAATTAATGCGAAGTTTATTTCGGAACGGGTGCATATTATGTAAAAATACATGACGATATTATAAAACAACCATGTATATACCGATGCACGAATCTAGATTTCATAGAAAATAAAAAACAAAATCGACAATATGAACAGCAATGAGAGTATTAACCAGAACATCACTTTTCAAGCAGTAATTTCAAAAATAAATTGATTAAAAAAATTTAATAAAAAATACAGAATACAATGAACTGACAGTAAAAAGGTTAAATATGGATACCTATCCGGAGATATCTGAAAAGCGATTTCAATTTACATATCACAAAAACACTATCAACTGAAATCAGAAAAAATCACTTCACACAGTGTCAGGGTTAACAGACTTTTCTTTAAAAAGAATTTCCATACTCTATAACGTTCAAAGGGCTCGCTCTATTTTTCCCATTTTTTCACAGGATCATTCATGAAATAAAGTTGGATATTGTATTCGCTCTATCTATTGTGGTTTATGTTTACGTGTCTATTTTAAGCGTCTATTCTCAATACAAATCTATATGCAAAAACTTCTAATATATTTGCCAATTTTCACACTTGTATCCTAATGTTTGCCACAAGAAGAAAGTTAGTAATAGACAAACACTTACACGGACAGGCGGAGAACCTAGATCTATTCAGAACTCAGCATTTGATCCAAAACGTATGGACTTTATAGCGTTTCGGAAATTTTTGTGCACGTTTTGGCAAATTGAATATAATCGACTTCTTACGTTGGTAGGTATGAAAAAAAACTTCTGCAACAAACACTTAATCGGTCACTGAGCTTACAGGTACCACATCAATGCTCGATGCTTGCAGCCCAGTTTCAGTTTTATTTACATCTCCCGTTACTCCATATGGTCACTTTTTTTAAACATGCTTATTCAGAATGATCTCCGAACATTTTTTTTTATCTTTACTTCTTCATGCCCATCGCCGAAGGATGGAAGGTATATTCATTTTGTCAAAACTTTTGCAACGCCTAGAAGAAAATTTCAGAGACCCCCCAAAGTATATTCTTGATTAGCACCGAATTCTGAATCGATTTGTGCATGTACGCATGTCTTTCTGTCTATTGTGTGTTTTAAACATTCTGCTGGCCGCAAGAAGAAGCTATCGACTTCGAATTTCTAAAAGAATTTGAAAATGGCCCAAATTGCTCGGAAGACGCACTTACAACGCCCAATTGCCCATACGAAGGAAACCGTAAACATCTTTGCTTTCGGTATTTTTTGCTTTGTACCCATCAACTACGACACATTTCCCACATAAATTTACAATTTTATTCTGAAAATAAATAATTTTATTCTGAAAGAACAGCTACGCCATGGAATGGTATAAACTACGAAAATTTAGTTCTTTCCTTGTCTTTTACTTTTTTTTAGGATAACGATGATAGGTATAAAAAATTCGGTCAGGACCGAATACAGTTTTCTTAAGTTTTATTTCCTTATTTTTATCCGTGTGAATGCACAAGATTTTTCATTAACATTTTCCATGCGTGAAGGCTACTTTATCGGCGAGATGTCTTTGCTTTAAACTACGATAGCATCAAATAACGAATTTGCACTCTGATTACTTACAACTTTTAATTCTACTTTAATTCTGGTTTAGTTCTCAAGACAATGTGTCATAAACTTTGCGGTGCGGTCTACAGAAGTAGTTGACTAGATACATCTAAGCAACTAATTTTGTATAAGAGAGAGGGATAACAAAGAAAGTTAACTTTTACAATATCTTTTCTAATGTTTGTGATATATCTAAAGCTCGAACTTATGCTCGACTCAAACATGAATATTTTGGGGAAGACAGAAAACAATACAATCTCAGTTATCGACTTTTTAGCTTTAGATAACCTGTTGCCCTACGTAATGGAAGTAAAAACTAACTATGCATTAGGTTGCATATAATATATACATACGTGTGTTTGTTATCTATTTCAACTCTATATGACTTTTGGTAATTTTTTGTTACTTTGCCATAGCTTTCCTTCTTTGTTTTCGTACTAACAATAGCCTTTTTAAGTTCTTTAATGACCTTTATTAGTTAAGTACATTGTTTAGTTTTTAACCGTTGTCAAAGGAGGTTGTTATTTTTATTTTATCGTACTAGACCGGGCTTACGCCGCGGTGTCCATGTCTTCACTTATGTTTAGAAAATTACTTTCTCTAAAATTAAATCACGCGCGTTATACATCAAAAAGTTTCCTTTCGCAGAAAACGTTACGTTCCGTGCTTAATTCGAGCTTAACAAGCTGCAAAGACATGCTACAATGATCCGGAACATAAAAATTATGGTACTGGCCAAATAAAGGTCCACGTAAAACTGAAAATTAATTTCGCACAGATTTAGGGGAAGTATACCATGAGTCAATGAACAACAGAAGTACTAATGCAAACTGACATTGCATTCGTACTTTTTTATTAACATTTAGTTATTATATGCTTGCCCTAATTTGCTTTGATTAGCGTTTTGAACCTTTCCTGTAAAATTGTTATGAATTGTTGTTTGTTCTGTATAAAATTAAAAGTTTTGCGTTAATGCTTTTCTTCTTTATGTTTACAGATATCTGGAGACGGGTCTTTGTAGGATCATTTTATAATTTTTTTATATTTTGGCTAACACACAAATTATTAATTTTTTTCGAAAATATCAGATTTATTATAGTACAATATCATTATATTTTTTGCAGAATTGATTTAATAATGAGTTTTTGTATTACAATCCAAAAGTATTAGTATTTCTACTCGGTGCTATACTATAAGTAATGTGTAAATCAAACTGTACAATTATTAAGTAGCATTGCCAAGATCTTACCTATCATCATTCGCTAATTTGTATTATACATAACAAATATCTATAGCTACTTGCATTTACACAGATATCCATAAGTGTTTTACATGAGCAGTCTTTAATTTTTTAATACAAAAATTTAAAATAAATAAATAAACAAATAATGCAGAAGGTAGTCAATATAGAAAGTAATATGCAAGATATTATTAAAACACTAAATAATTACTGATTAATATACACAGCTAACTACGTATAAATAAATATAGTAAAGGGCAGAAAAATTTAGACTTATTGATATATTGTAAAGATGTTCTCAATTATCAATAAGTAAATTGTTACATTCAGCCTAAACTGACAGTTTGATACAACCTAACAATAAATTGAAAATAAATTAAAAAATAAGAAAATAAATTCCTTGGCGAATTCCGTTGACTTTATTAAGTTTCCTTACGACAGGTAAGCATAGATTACGTTTGCTCATTTTGAATATTGAAAAAGAGTTCTTTTACTTATGTAATTTGAAAATAAATCTTTTGCTCTTGTTGTCTTTTATAAGCAATGTAATGCAATCACTCTTACTGTATATACAAAGTGACGGCCGTTACAAAACGGGAGATAATCCTTCTCTTAACAATTCTCTTCATGTGAATAAGTAAAGAGGCTTGCTTAATAAAATGGTCTGTACGGTGTGGCATAACCGCTGAGACAAGAAGATATTAGATTGCCTGGAAGACTTAGCATCATGCTAACTAGAAAAACCTACAAGTTGGCTTAGGATTACCAAATCCGAGGCACTTCGAATTTCCGACACGGTTGTGGAGAGATAGCTTCTTCGACAGTAATGTTGGGGGTTATTCGCGGTCGCCAGGCACGCCGCAGATAGTTGTAATTTTTGTTCGTTGTTAATTACTCTCACCAAAGAATAGAACGAACAGACAAAACTAACAAACTGGATGGGCGTATAACAACACGTCCAAGGTCGGTCTATATCCTACCTTACCTATTCTATTTAGAGACCCCGACAATAGTTCCTCAGACCCCTAGACCTACTTTTGTCGTACAAATAACCTTTTTAAAACATATTTTCAGCATTTAATAACGTGTTTGAAAAGAAAGAGGCATTTATTAACAATGAAAAAGAGAAGGAGAAAATGAAAAAGTTCTTATAAAACTACTTATCTACATCAAGATATATATGAACCTATACATACCTTTTGAACATTCAAAACTACCACAAGGCAAAAGAAGACACATATGTATATATACGTATACATATATATTATGACTTACGCTAAATTACAAATGTGTGATTATTCAAAATGCAAAGAAGTAGGATCATGATGATACTAAACCGTTGCTGATGGTGTGGAGACATTGACGATGATGTTTGCTTAGAACAAAAACATTATATGTAAAGGATGGGACATTTGGCTCGCAAGATTTTCACAGTAATATTATTAAATAACTACTGATATTAAAGACCGCAAGAGAGAGAGTAGGGAACTGAAATTAGAACATTTACTAAAATTTGCACGACAAATATCCGTAAGATTACCAGGAATACTCAGGGAAAACGGCCAATTCTTACTGGAACGACGTTATGTTTGTTCTCATTAGTCTTATCTTCCTATTATCTTCCTTCTTGTACCAACGGCGAGCCTAGCAATGGTCATATTACGCTTTGGATTGGGCTCAAGGAAGTCCGAAAATGGGTGTTCTAAACAAGGAAGGATATTGAAGAAAACTTTGAAAGAAAGTGCGCAGAAACTTGGTATTTTGGAAACATGCAAATTCTTTCAAGATAACAACTTCAAGAATGGCTCTTATATAACTGCCCCAAAGTACTTTACCCTCTTCCCTATTCAACAGGCATGGACCTCATCAAAAATATGTGGGATGGATTAGACAGTCGTGTGCGAAAATACTCAATCTCTTCCGCCCAAGACCTGAAAAATACACTGTGGGAAGAATGGAGTAAGATTAATTATTTTGAAATTCTACGCTTGCCAATTGCAATGACAAATTTTGATAAAAATTTTCATATCGAGAACTATGAAGCAATTTCTTATTAAGAAAAAAAAAAGTTCTATCGTTGTCTAATTATAAAAAAGAAATCCATTATTTTTTCGGTAGATGGCTGCACTGATAGATTTCTCGTAAAGTATCGATCAAACAATTTCAGATTTATACTCGTTGGAAAGGTGATATTTCGCAGTGAAAAAAAATTCTTTTGCTGTTTTTTGTTTGGTGCATTCAGTTGTGAGTTACAGCGTGTTAAAAATGGAAGTGAACAAAGAGAAAATTCGGTACATTTTACAGTTTTTCTTTGACAAAGGCGAAAACGCAAACCAGGCGCCTAAAATTGTGAATGGTGTTTATGGTTCCGATACTGTAACAGCCAATTATGTGCAATTTTGGTTTCGTAGATTCCGTTCAGGAATTTTTGATGTTAAAAATGCACCTCGCACAGGCAGGCCGGTCGTCGAAAATGTCGATAAAATCGGAGAAATGATCGAAGTTGACCGGCATGTTAGCAGTCGTAACATCGCCCAGGAGCTAAAAATCGACCATAAAACAGTTTTAAACCATTTACACAAAGCTGGATTCAAAAAGAAGCTCGATGTTTGGGTGCCACACCAATTAACAGAAAAAAACACGATGGATCGAATTTCCATCTGCGAAGCCTTGGCCAAACGGAATGAGATAGACCCATTTCTTAAACGGATGGTAACTGGAGATGAGAAATGGATCACATACGATAACCCTGTGCGAAAACGGTCGTGGTCAAAGAGCGGTGAAGCACCTCAAACGGCCAGGAAGGTTTTGCTATGCATTTGGTGGGACTGGAAGGGGATTATTTATTATGAGTTGCTTCCATATGGCCAAACGCTAAATTCTGATCTCTACTGTCAACAACTGGATCGTTTGAAGATAGCGATTGACCAGAAACGGCCAGAATTGGCGAACAGGAGAGGTGTCGTGTTCCACCAGGACAACGCTAGGCCACACACATCTACAGTGACTCGCCAGAAACTTCGGGAGCTTGGTTGGGAAGTTTTAATGCATCCGCCACACAGTCCGGACTTGACACCAAGCGATTATCATCTTTTTCTTGCATTGCAAAATTTCTTTAATGATAAAAAATTGGAATCTAGGGAGGATTGTGAAAGTCGACTACTAGAGTTTTTTGTAAATAGAGACCAGAACTTCTATGAGAGAGGCATTTTGAAGTTACCTTTAAAATGGCAACAAATCGTACAAGAAAACGGTGCATATTTGACCCAAATCGGACAATCCGAAGCATGTTAAATAAAGTCCTGAAATTCGTATAAAAATAATGGATTTCTTTTTCCCCAAACTAATAATATACTCGTTCTAAAGTCAATATCGTCCTGTTATATTCTACGCAGTCCCTATTCGGTTTCTTAGCGCAAATTCACTTCAATAAGGTACAGGTAATTCGTAATTAGCTAGTAAAGTTAATGTATACCCTTCCAAAATGGTTTTCCATCTCCCGCCCCCATGGTATTTCGGGCATAAAAGTGCTTTCTGACAAGACAATTAATCTCACACATAATTGCAATATCAGACGGCTTAATTTTAATTTTGAATTAGTATTCACTTAGGCATATTTCCAGTCAGTAATTAAGTACGTCAGTAGTTTCAATCAAAAATCAAATGAGTTTTAATTTTTTCTCGAATAAATATATTGTATACATATATATAAAGTATTGTAAGTAGAAATTCTTTATTAAGCTATTAAAAAAAATACTTGAAACCCCAAATACGTATTTATAAATTAAATAGAACTTTAATTATGTAAATAAACGATATAAATAATGAAACATCCAAGATTAGCATGTGTGAAACGTGTTTTACAACAATACAAAGTGACGGCTTGTCTCGATGGCAACTTTCTTGAGACTGCAGTTAAGTATGAACTGGGTTCGGCAAACGCCAAACATAATTGAATTGCTCCTAGGTGCACTTTTGGTAACTTCTTGTATGCTTGAATAATACATTAATTTTCATATCGAAATTATGCACCAATTTACCTTTAATATTTCCATTTTGAAAATACTATGCATATTTTTACTTTGCAAAGCCATATATTTTCTTTTTTTTTAACCCCGTTAACTGATGATATTCATAAGCAACAACTCTGTTTTAGAGCGAAATTGTTTTTGAAGACATTTGCTATCACTTTTGTTTCAGAATATGAAATGTGACACAAAGTGACAACAACTTTGACACGGAACAGAACCATAAATATTATGATAGTTGAATGAAAACCACGCCAGAATACAGCTGTTATGCATTTGCACATTTTCCAAATGTAAATATTTAGCAACTGATTGCTTTCATGCTCATTGCCAACAAGATTGTTCTGAACTTTGGATACCTTTCGCATTTCATTCACACTTGACACAACACATCATCTCCGCAAACGGCAGCTGGATAATTTTTGTGTTTACCGGTGTTAGTGAAAAAAAAAAGAAAAAAAAAAAAAGAGATTTTAAAAATCTGAAAAAAGGAAAAGAGGTTTAATAAAGTAATAAAATAACCAAAGAAAACAATTTTAAAAAGGAAAAGAAGGGAAGGAGGAGGAATCTCTCGTGAGAGAAAAATTAAGAAGCAATACATATTATTATTATTTTTGTTTTTTTCTTTGTGATTTTTTCTTTTTGTGTTCCCTGTGACAACAACCAAAACAACATCAGCCCGTCTCCCTATGGAGTCTGGGTCTGATCTTATAACTACCAATAGAGACAATTTTGAAAATTTTTACATGAACGCCACTGGGCAAACCAAGAGATCGAAAATGGGGAGAATAATATTCCTTTATCTGATAACGGGGAAGCTAACGCAAATGTTTCAATTCCGCCTAGTAAACAGGTTTCCGACAAGCCCTCTGATTTGGGTGCCACAGCCGCCCCAAATCTCGAAATTAATTTGTACGACTGCCTTTCCAATTGCAATTTTGTCGTTTTTGTCGAAACGTGTGCGGACGCAGATGGAAATCGCATCAATATTAACTCCAATCTCTATTTCTATGATTACTTGAAGGATTTCGATATGTATGGCTTGAAAGAATTAAAAGTTGTCAGCAGGGTTAGAGCCAAACTGCTTTTCAGCTCTGCTGCCAATGCCAACAATTTTATTACGAAAAATGAATTTAATAAAAAGAATTTAAAAGCGTACATACCG